TGGTTTTGGAGCCACCGATCGCTAAAAATAGAGCGTGAAAATTGATTGAATCAAGGCGCGAGTTTGAAGCGAAATTTTTCAAAAAATTCCCAAAAATCGACTTCATTCTCGCTTATAATCAACATTTTCGAGTTCATAGAATAGAATCGCCTCTATCTAACGAGACCAAAATGAAGTTTCTCCGTCTGTTGGTTTTGGAGAAACTCATCGCTAAAACAGAGCATAAAAATTGATAAAATCAGTGGCGCGAGTTTGAAGCGGAATTTTTGAAAAAATTGTCAAAAATTTGCTTCAGATGCACTAATAGTGAAAATTTGCGGGTTTGTAGAATAGAATCGTTTCTGTCCAACAAGTTCAAAATCAACGTTCTGCCTCTGCTGGTTTTAGAGAAATCCAATGCGAGAAGATTTTGTTAAATCAAAAGTGCAAGTTTGAAACTGAATTTTTCAAAAAATTAATAGGAGTCTACTTTACTGGTGCTTATAAGCAAAAGTTTCGAGTTTAAAAAATACAACTGCCTTTATCTAACGAGACCAAAATGAAGTTTCTTCTTGTGCTGGTTTTGGAGAAACTCGTCGCTAAAAACTTCGTTAAATAACACGCGCGAGTTTAAAACGGAATTTTTCAAAAAATTGTTAAACATTTGCTTCAGACACACTAATAACGAAAAATTGCCGGTTTCCAGAATAGAATGGCTTGAGTCCAACAAGTCCAAAATCAACTTTCTGCCTCTGCTGGTTTTAGAGAAATCCACCGCTTAAAACAGACCGAGAAGATTTTGTTAAATCAAAAGCGCAAGTTTGTAATGCAATTTTTCAAAAACGTTACAAAATTCTACTTCACTTGCGCTTATGTTCAAATTTTTGTGTTCATAGAATAGAATCTCCTCTATTCAAGGAGTTGAAAATCAATTATGTACCTTTATTGGTTTTGGAGCCACCGATCGCTAAAAACAGAGCGTGAAAATTGATTGAATGAAAGGCGCGAGTTTAAAGCGGAATTTTTCAAAAAATTCCCAAAAGTCGACTTCACTCGCGCTTATAATCAACATTTTCGAGTTCATAGAATAGAATCGCCTCTATCTAACGAGACCAAAATGAAGTTTCTCCGTCTGCTGGTTTTGGAGAAACTCATCGCTAAAACAGAGCATAAAAATTGATAAAATCA